ACGATCAGTATCACTTGCGTACGGGGTACTCCGTACAACGCTGGAAAGGCTACGGAGGAAATATTCAGCCTATTCGCCAGGTGCTTGACCAAGCTATGTAAGACCCACGCGTCTGGGCCAGCTCTTGTTTATAAATCCGCTCCACGGCTTTAACCTCTGCCACGTTGACCACCTGGCCAAGTGGCCTGTGCAGTATTGACATCCTAGGCAGCTTGGCACGAAGCCGAAACACCAGCGTGGCGGCTGAAGTGGGCACAGGCGGGCGCGACTCCGTCCCGGGCGCCGTCTCTGAGGTTGCACAAAGTGTTTCCAGAATCCCGAGGTGCTTCTATACCGGGACGTGACCATATTTAACGTAAGCTTCACACATGCGCTCATCCGCGAGCAAAACTTGTCTTCACTCAACTCGGGGCAAAGTCTTTGTCGTATCCAAGATGGTCTTGGTATCAGCAGGTATACATTCTATGGTCATAATAATACCCGACCGCCCGGTCGCGTTGGGTGACTCCAAAGAGGTTGAGTACTTGTGGCCCCCACAGTAGTACTCAAAGCGCATCAGCCAAGAAGATATCGGAAGGCCTAATTTTGTATTGTACATAGGTCGAGTGGCGCAATTATCCCATTGCACTGGTCAGGTCGGAGATCAAGCTGGGGACAATGGAGGCCGCCAATGCACAATGCTCTGTGTCGGGAGGCATATGCGAGTGCTTTAGAGCATCCCCGTTAAAGAGAACACTGGCTTAGGGAGGGGGTTGACTTGGTAGAGACGAGGGTTTGGTAGTAATAGTAACGAGAGATGATCTGCTTCTCTGTTACTTGCCCGGCTTCACAATGCATTGGTATGCTCTTGATAGACTATTTGGAGCTCAACGCAAGGTCACTGGTCTGGTTCTTGTCCAAGTCTTTGGTAGCCATGACCTCTAGGTATGTGTCCCTCGTATAGTTTACGATAAGCTGGTCTGCACGTATTTTGAACACAACTAATCGACACTTGCAATAGCCTCAGCCCAGAGACGCGACTGTAACATATCACGCAGCACGGCGTAGTTGCTGGCACATCCCTGCGGAGCTCTTTCTGTCCGAGCGCAGGCCTTTGAGTTGCTGTTTTTTTTTTCTCCATCAGCTTGTCACGGCAGATGTCTAGTGTAAGAAAGCCGATGTCATTTATGAGTTCTTTGCTATCTCAGCCGCCCGAAAAAAATGGAGAGCTGTCGACAGGACCTGGATTAATCAAATAGGCATTAAGAGTGCCCGAGCAATGGTGCTCCTGCAACTGATTGCTCTCCAGATCCACCACATGCAGCCCAGGCTAGCCAAACGCCGATATAAACGTGGACATGACGGGGAGTTCGCGGAGGGATGTTGTCGGTAGTAGTCATCAATTCTACAAGTGGAAATACCCGGACTTGTGGTAGGCGTTGAAATGGCCAGTGAGCCACCCCGGGCAACCTTGCATCAGAACAACTCCATGGATATAGTATGTATGTATGTACTCGAGTGCTCACAGCAGAAGTGAAGCCCAGGCTGCTTGCTGTCTCTTTCACGTCTACTTGGGCTGCCCAAATAGGCCTGCTCATTTCACACTATATCAGTAGCGGGCAACTTCTCCCGAAAGCCAATCTCAGGACCGTTTTGCGCTAACAGCATTGGACACACAGACTGATGATCACATTGGTTCTCAGCCAATCTAGTCCCCGGGTTGCGCCGTCCGTCGGATACAAAGCTACCCACAGGTATACTAGAGTGGTGGCTTGAGCAGAGACATCCACAACGGGTGCAAAAGCTGGCCAGCAGAGCTAGTAGTAAATGGTGGCGCCATGGCAGGGCATTGGTTGATGATAGCCAGCTTTCCGGAGTCTTGGGTGAAGGTCCCGAGACGAGTGAGCCGGCGGGATGGGGGCTATGGTGGCGGCACCTACATACATACATACGATATGGGAGTGGTGTGGGATTCATTTCGCTTGGCAAGAAGTCTACTTCCACTTCTGCTGGCATGTTCAAAGCCGCGTGAGCTTCCAAGCAAATCACAAAACAGACAGCGACACCCGTCGTTGTGGCGGCGGCGGCGGCGGCGACGACGGAAGTTCTGTGCTACTATTTCTCCTCTCCTCTTCACCCCGCACCAGCCGACGGTACCAATGGCCCGGGGTTGTCCTCGTGCCTTGTGAGAGCGGCAGCAAGCGGGTGTTTCCGAGAGCCTCGTTGTGCAGCTTCGGCGACGTTGACGTTGGAATAAGGCCGGGAGGCTCTGTCCTGGGCTCTGGACGGCGAATGGCCATTGGGGGAACGCCCTCGTTGCGAGACGGGAGATGTTTCCCGTCCGTCGTATGCACTTGCACAAACCAGACTCGGGAGCTGGTCGTGCTCCAGACTTGTTAGCCGCTGGGCGAGTTCACTCACCGGACCAGTGGGAGAGAGAGACGGCATCAGTGCGTAACCGTCCATGGACAGCTTGAGGCAACCCGCGACATCTTCTGGCGGCCACGCGTTCAGCGAACGGGCGGTTTAGACACGGCGGGGCGAAGCGATTAGCACACAAGGGGCCATTGGATGGACTTGACCAGACATGAGGGGATTGACTGGATTGACTGGGCTGGCTGACCTGCGACCTTGGGGTTCGACGTGGCTTGCCGACGTATCAAGCCAGGGAGGGCGCCAAAATAGCCACGGATGGTTGCTTGGCATTTGAGCTTGTGTTCAGTCGGGCCGTGAGCTTGACCGCAAGCACATCATCGGAAGTCATTCGAGGCCATCCAGCATCACACCCTCCGCCTCGCCTGAATCGACAAGTGTTGGACCGAGATTCCGAAGCCCGTGCTACCCTTGCAGTGAGCAGCATCCGGCCACCATGGAACCCCCACCCCATCTCGCTCGGTCTGCAGTTCCGCAAGGATGGGTGACACACTCGTGCATGCTTCTTGGACACATTCCGGAATGCTAGTATGCCTGCAATGTCGGCCAAGACCAGCCACGAAACTGCTCGTTACGGTTGCAATGCCCTTCAATGCTCCTTCCCCGCCACACTCACTCAGTTGGGCCGCGCGCTAGTTGCCACGCCAGGCGGGGCTTTCAAGACGAGGACGAGCTTTACGAGCAGACCAAATTGTTTGAAGAGAGGCGGCCATGACGATCAACGTTTGTGGGTGAGTCAATGACCCGTGAAGGGCAAGGAAGTTCTCACGGCCGCGTCTGGTTGTTTGGCCTTGGGCACGATGCCAAAATGATGTCGATGAGGTCAGACTCGCAACGGCCAAAGAAACGAACATGCCGCTTTGCTCACTGGGAAGCCCTGGCACATCCGGGATAAACAGTGTGTTTCTTCTTCTGGATTATCGGAAGACTTGTCTCTTTAATAAAAGGCGGCGGCGTTTGCCTTTGTATTGGACAACACGCAGTAACTTCCATACGTACATGCTTCCCGGTTCTGTCTGCCACGCCACCTTTTGCTTGGGCAGCATCTTTTCCAGTTCTCGAATAGCGTGTGATGTTTTTTTCTTTTCTTCCAGATCCATCATCTTTGCCTATGGAAACATCCGGCCTCCATCGGCTACGCTGACAGGCCAGGTGGCGGGAAACAGCGTAGCGATGACAAGATGGCTTGTCATGGCTTGCATGGCGGCCAGCCCGCCTCCTCTACTACTGCGAATGTGGGCAAAGCGGACGGGAAGCTTGATGACGGTTGTAGGCGCTTGGCCTCTGACACCAAGTCGGCCGTCCACGCCAACCGAGGTAACCCTGACTGACAGTCTGCTGGTCAATGGTTTGAATATTCTGGACCCGAGGACTGAAAGCGTGAAACTCTGACACGACTCAGGTGTCGAGGCGGCTGCTTGCAAGTGGTCCGCAGGCCGTTGATGCTTGATGGTCTCGCGGGTTCGGGAATCTGACAGCAGCCGTTACAGCCATGGGGACCGACGTGGACACCATGCGGAGAAGCCCGTACAATAAGAACACAACCAGGGCTTCGGGCATGACGTATGATTAGTTCATCCGAGTGCTTTTGGTATTCGCAACTGTAGCTGATGTATTTTCAGACTTTGTTCACTCGAAGCATTCGGTTGCAAACCGAGCCAGCTCATCTGGGGAAAGCGGCACTGCGCTGGATGAAGCCCGATTTGTGATGGCCGAGTAGACATTGTCCAATGGTAATTCAGAGAACAAACAACCAGATATGGGTAAAGAGTCACCCGTACATGGACGCGCGCTGGATCAAGGGCATCCGGACATCGCAATCCGATCTGACCACTGTTACAATCCCCAACACGGAGAAGACGCTGTAGATCCGTCATTCTATTGCCCAAAGCTAAAACCAACGAGAAAAAGAAAAAATCAGAGCGGAAAGCCATGTCCTCGTCTCTGGATGTCGTGTCCAGGCTAAAATCAAGCCCACTCAGGAAATGAGACGTGTCAAACCGAATTCAAAAGTACTTGACAACGAGCCCGTCCCATCACAATAAAATATCTAGATTGATCAAAGCTGCGCAAAGGCAGAATCTACCGGCACCACATGCAGCATAAGCCGTGGCAGCCGGACATACATATGTATAGTAGAAGGGATCCAGCCATGCCATGCCATGGATTCATAAAACCACAGGCAGCCCCGTCTTTGCCCGGCTCATCCCGCAAAACAAGAGCACGTAGACAAGCAGCCATCAGGAGGTGTAACAGGCGCGGATGCCCTGCGTCTCTTTCCACAAGATATGTGCATATATCTACTTAAGTGGGTGTTGTCCCCGTGAGCTTTGGCTAACGGCAGGCCGGGCCATGCACGCACGCGAGTACTACATTTTGTGTAATGCATATCAAACACCTCCTTCGTATGGGTTCTGAAACAAACACTCGGAGGCATTCATTCGAGGAACACGGCCCACCAAAAGGGTCCTTGTTCCACGGCATGAGCAACATCAGATGGCCACGTTGACCAGGACAATCAAATGATGGCGTGAATCATAACCCCCGTGTCAACAAGAACTATCGTCTAAAATTCTAAAACAAATCCCCTAACCCTCCGTGGTATCCATTTGCTCGCCCCTTAAACCAACAGCCTGCTCCTTGGCAATCTTCACCCTCTCCTCTCTCCATTTGCCAATTCTCTCCTTCAACTCCGTCTGTGGAATAGCATCGTCAATCGTCATGGGCTGCCGTGTAAACGGATCCTTGGCATCGCTCAATAGATGCTGCACAATGGTTGATCTGTCGACAATATGTCGACTGGGCAGGAGCACCGGGTCCTTCATCAAGTCACCCATGATGGGATCCTCAAACTCGGCTGGGATATCGCCCAGGTCGAGTTCAGCCTGGTCCAATTCGTGTTTTGCCACTTCAAACTTGGCCTTTACCTTTTCCCATTGTGCTAGATCAGCGGGATCCTTTGCGTTTTTAGACGACAAAATGCGAGTCACACGGTCGAGGACCTCGGGCTTGTAGGATCGACCGTCCGCGGCGACAGCGTCCACGAATACCGGCGAGTAGCCCAGGTGCAGATAAATGTCGACAAAGTCGGAAATAAGTTGGATAGGGCGGAAATGATACTTGTCCTTGTTCGAAACGGATAGCTCTGCCGCAGCCCTTTTGCCAGCCAGTGTCTCCAAGTTGTAGTTTAACATGCTTGCCAGGCGGGAAACGATTTCGGGCATGATGAACGACTCGCTCAGGGCCTTGGTAAACAACTTCATCATCTCTAGCGTTTCGTTGGCCAGCTGCATGTACGAGGTAGCTTGACTACCAAGTGTTTGCAATTCTTCCTCCTTCTTCTGCCGATCTTCGGCTGAAAGAGAAGTGTCTTCCAGCTCTCGCTCTAGGCTTCTGATCTTGGGAAACTTTGTGAAAGCCTCATCCAAGACATACGTAGCGTCATTGAGCAACATGTTCACAAACTGAACAAAAAAGTCACGGTTGGTCCTGGATGGTTGTTAGTGTGGTCCAACTCACACATTTGTGCTGCCTTTGATTGATTGACTTACTTGCTTTCCCGTGTCAACTGCTGCTTGTAGACATCATTGCTCCAGACACATTTAATTACCTGGAAGATTTCATATCGGATGTTGAACTTGTCATAAAAAGCAGTGTTGGCGCCGGTGGATTCGCATTCTATATAGAACTTCATCAGGGCATTCAAGAGGTATTCATTGGCAAAAGGCAGCGCTATAAGCTGATCGCCAAAGACTCCCTTCTTCAAGTGCATAAACGGCCACGTTCCGGAATATAGTAGTGAGACCAACGAGGATTTAAGATATGGGTTCTTGATGAACTCAGATGACCGAAGAAAAGTGATGCACAGAGCAATCATTTCGTCGCCAACAGCACTGGGAATGATTTTGGGAAGGAATCTGTGCAAGTATATCAGTATACAGCCTGGGATATCCGGGCAAATTGATGAAGCCAACCTGAAAATAAACTTGAAATTGTCTACAATGTTTTGTAGGGTATATTCCGGCAAACAAGCAAATGCCTCTGCGTTGTCAGAAGACAGCGGTAGCCTAATGTCATGTGAGATGCATGCTGAAAAGTTGAACTGCCTCACTCGACGTACCTGATCATTTGAGTCTCTCGTCCTGGTTTATAATCTGAGCCAGTGACGAGTCGCAATAACCATACAGCAACGTATCGCATAAAGCGAAGTGACGTGCTTTGCATTCGCTCATCGAGCAAGGCGCCCTCAATGGCATGCTTCAGGGCAATCGTCTTCTCCAAAACATTTGTGTGTCGTTTCAAAGTTTCTTCGAATAATCGAAGCTGATGGGGTGAATTGGCGAGTTTAGGACGTTCAGCCTCCATGGCCTTGATATGTTTGTCCAGGTACTTGATTTCACGATCAAGGTTCTTCAGCTGTGAATTCAATGCCTCACTTCCATAATGGTGGGCGGCGAGGGTCAGGAAAAAGGCTTCCGAGATGAAGTTTGAGTCCCCTTCGACCTTCTTGGAATAATACTCATCCGCTGTGGCTTGGTCCGCGTTCAATTTAGTCTCATCTTTAATGTCGACTCGAGGCTGTCTCCTGAAGTAGCGCACATCGATCTTATCCACCTTACTAAAGTCATTATCCATGAAAGGTTCGCAAAATCGGTCCATGATGGTGGTCACATTGAGCATGAAACCGTCCGAGGCAACTTCCTTAGGGTCAACCTGCATAGCTCTTCTCTTGTGATTCATATTCACGATGTATGCGAACCAGTTGAGCGTCCTGCTTCTCGTGTCCGGGCCGGCACGAATAAAAGCGTTTGCAATTACAAACAGATCATCTTGATGTGCTCTCAGAACAATTCGTAATGATTCTTGGGCGTTCGCAATTCTAACTCTATCGAGAGATCGAGCTCCGGGAAAGTAACTTTTGATTGCCTCGGGTTGGAGGGGGGAAATACGAAAGAAAGGGCCGAGAATGGTATGTCGTTCAATGCCAGGAGCAGACTGTGCCATGTTGAAGGAAGGGTGTTGGGCGAGGTTGGCAATAAGCACTGGGAATCGCGTGTATGTGAGAAGGGCCTAGATAAAAAGGGATCGGTTAGCCGAGGCGTCTCCTATTTGCTGGACGGCGAAACAACCAACCTGGACGTGAGGTTTATACTCGTCCCCCAAAGACAGGGTGGACAGTTGGCTGCTAATTTTGATCATGGCATCATTGAACAGGGTAGGGAACGCTTCATCTTCGTCAAATCGTTTGATAGCTTCTCTAATAAAGTCAAAACAAAGACCACCATCGTCTTGAATGCCCTTTAGCAAGTAAGGCACGAGCGTATCATGCTGAGGGTTCGGGTCACGACTACACATTGTCAGTCTAAAGCACAATACATACGAGCCACTTTCTGTATGTCATCGTGAACGAACCCATAAAGAGCCGGCATAGTCAACGCGAATAGACAGTTGCTCATACAAAGCCGCTTGGCCTCGTCCAGAATTTCTTGTCTCGGGGCCGAAACATTCTTCGCAGTGCTGGACGCCCTGACAGCTCGTTTCCAACACGGCAGGAGATACTCTAGAAGGGGTTTAGTTAGTGTCCAGCTGCTGCAGGCCTCTATTATGGCCTGGTCCAGGTTACCAATGGATAGCTTCAGGGAGTCGCCAGAATCGTTCAGCTCTTGGTTCAAGTTCGGTAGAAAGATCAGACGCTGGCCCTGGGGGGTTGCCATATGGTGCGGATCAACAGAAACGCGGAAGACTTGTGACAGCACCCGATGGGCAGAGTCCTCATCTGTCTCCGACTTTTGCTGCTGCTGCTGCTGCTGTACTAGCTGTGGAGTTGGTTTCTGGGCGGGCGGTGCTGAATCGGTGTCGTCAACATCAGGCGCTGGCCGTTTGCAGGCAGGACGGGAACTACCTGTGGCGGCGGATTCATCTCCTGCTATCTTGCTGTTCTGTACACCGAGTTGTGCAAAAGGATTCGGGTTCGACTGTGTTGTCGCGGCCGGGGTCACGTTGATCTTTGGTTTGGGGGTAGAGGCGGCTTCCGAGGTCTGCGGTTTCGGCGTGGATGTCGACGATGATGCGGGTTGGTTCGAAGAGCTGTCGGTCTTGTCTTCGCTGGGCTTACGTGCTATATTGCCCAGCATGGCAATACGACGTGCCCGCATCTACATGCACGGTTAGCTACAATGCCATGTAAACCGTCAAGCTAGGTCGGTGATTCGGCATCTCCAAGCACCGACATCGCAAGCATGTAGGTAGGTGAAGACTTGCGTGGTCTCTGTCCGGGGCATCGTCAGGCCCGCTGGGAGGGGGTCGGTCGTTGGGATCCATGATGGCCGACGTCCAATGCTCTCCGTGTGTGAAGAAGGGAAGATCAGGTGTGGGTAAGAGAATTGCAAGTTGCAAGCAACTCGAGGACTGGGGATCTGGAAGCAGACGGCAAGGCTGACGTCGATGGAGCACCACGATTATGAAATCCGAAAGAGCCCCACCCTGGCTGACGGGTTGTCCGCTGTCAACTTGTCAATGCCGAATGTGCAGGGTTTTGAATATTCAGTGGAATGCTGCGTTGAGGAAGCTTCAGCCTCGTCTTGTAGGTCCGTCCGTGGCCAATATGATTTAGCAAACAAAAATCGGCCGTTATTCGGTGTGATGCTTGATGTTGGTGAAGAGCCAAGTCTGGTCAATAACGGGGACACATGAGCACCCAGTTGACGGCCAGGGAGCCCAAATGTCGCGCGTGGTGCTAAAGAGCAGCCTGGGCTGGGTGACTTCAGTACATATGTAGTCAATCAGTGTCTGGTTTGTGGTTCCAGGGCGCTTCAGGGTTGCTTCCATGACCAGTGCTCGCCACTAGACCCGCTGCGTCCACTGTCTATAGCGCCGTACGTGCCAACGTTGAACTTTGGCTGAACCGCCAGTTGATGCCAACAACATCCAGCGGAAGTCGTGTAAAACCTCCTCTAGATATCAACACCGGACGGGTCCCAGGATGAATTTTGTCGACCCTAACAAGAGAGATGAAGATAGAGAAAAGGGACCGAAAGATTGTTAACTAAGTATTAGTGGACGTAACAGAACTTGTCCTAACGTAAAAACTCCGCGCCAGATGAGCCTCCCCCTCGCGGACAGCCAAAGTCCGCTCGGAGTTTGACCAACATTGACGCTTTCATTCCTGTCAACTCGGCCACTGCTAATTGTTGATGAAATCCATTCTCTTCTTTGTTCGTGTCTACCTTGCATAGACTCTAACTTTATTTACGCGGACCTCATGACGGCCATTTTGATCCAAGGCAAAAGACGTGCTCCCTGCCATGTCGCTCAGCATCCAGCACCGATTCCTGATATTTCACCGCACAATCAACACCTATTTACCATCATAGTATTGTTTTAGCCCTGCTATGTATATATGTATCGACTCGTGTGTCTAGCCTCGTTCCCATTGTCGCGTCAAGTATCACTCTTGTGCATGTTTTCATACTCGTACATCACATTCCGTCTTGTGCTCCCCAAGCTGCCAGAATCTTGCGCCGGGCATCCATTACATCATTATACAGCTCTCCATCAGTGTAGTCACAATTCCACCACACATCACAAGCGAGGCACATCCATATCAGCACTCGACGACCTCCGTCTCTCTGACAGAATAGGTGGTGCATCGCTAGAGCTGTCGCGGCGAATCCCCGCTGTTGGCCCCGTGTTATTCGCGGCTCTGATGCGGCCCTCTTCGCGACTCCGATTCAGCAGCCAGTTCACATGCATGCGTATCATATTGATGTTGTTTCGTAGCTCTGTCACCTCCTCGCGTATGGGCATAACCTGGTTCAGTGTCCACATACTCTGCCTTGCCTCGAGGTGGGTCAGGTTTTGATGGACTTCTTCAAAACCAGCATCTAGGTCCTGCATGGTTCTGTTGTCGCTGTACACGGCGTCGTTGCGGCTTCCCCCCTCGCCGTTTATCCGTCGATTCGCCAACATGTCGTCAATACGCTTGGCGGTTTCGTCTTGGCGAAGTTGCATGTCTCGAAGCTGGCTTCCCAGGTCGCCGTACGACTGAATAATTTCCCGTTGGTTACGAATGACAATTCCCGATGGCGTGTCTGGGTGGAAAGCGCATGTGAACGAGTGCGCCCCAACCTCTCCCCGTATTGTCCTGACCGGACACCCCAGGTCTTTGTAGGGACAGCCAACTTCTACCCCGTCGCACTCCAAATCGTGATGTGATTTCATCTGTGACCGGCAAACCAGCTGCCAGCAGGATTGACATCTCGTCTTGGCCTGCGAGCACGAAAGCAGATGCATCTCTTTGTCCGCTTCTTCTACCTGATCTTGGCATAAGGCGCAGCCTACTTCCCTGTGATGGCATTTATCATCCTTGGGCTTGTCCCGTAGCTTCTTATCACACGCAGTATCAGGGCATGTAAATTCCCGGAAGCGGCATTCGGTTGTCGCGTGCTTTTCAACGTTTTCACGCCGCAGTTCACTTTCACAGCCTCGCCCCTGGTTGGGGCATCTAACCATCAAGCAATTGAGCTGTGTGCGAACAAGTCTAGCTGCACTGAAACAGTCCACCCATAGCAAGAGCTCGCGATCGATCGGGCAGGCTGTTCCTGAAGGGCTTGACGCGATACTGCGTCGCAAACACCTGTAGCAGAATGTGTGGTCACACGGTGTGGTGACGGGATCGACGAGCGGGTCGTGACATATGGGACACAGCAGATTCGGATCGGGGTCAGAGACATAGGTCAGCGTGTGCATGTCGAAAATGCAGTTGCCACCATACTTGTTGGGTATGTCGAGAGAGGACGGGTGAGGGGGCAACAGAGGGCCAGTCCTGCGGTCGGGCCCAGCATTTGAATGTCGTCGCCCATATGGTTGTGATAACATGGCAGCCGGACGCGATATTGCTCGCTGTCGAGGATGGCCATGGGCATCTTGAGCAATATAAAAGGCTTCTGGGGATGGTGGTCTGACCAGACTGGTGACAAGATCTGGCGTGGCGGCGGTCCGCCTCAAGTTGCGACGAGCAAAGCGTCTTGCCGCAGCGGGGCTCATGCGAACTCCTCGATCTCCCTCGTCGCTTGATTCTGAAGCGCCCTCTCGGGATAAATCGACGCTCGTCGGTCTGGTGGTTTCGCGCACAGTTGCTCGCGAGCTGGATTCCGCCGCAGCTTGTTCGGGGGTATGGACTGTCAGAGCGGGCGCCAGCATCGCCTGTATCGCCTGGGGATCGTGTCCCCCTCCCTGCGCTGTAGACATGCTCAAACAATCGACTTGGGCAGAGCGTATTGGGCGGGTGCAGTCGTTAGCTGCTGACGGAGGAGTAAGGCATTGGGAATGCAAACCGCGCACCTTTGGGAAAGATGGGACGGGAATGAAAAGGAGAGGAATTGATGGTTGGAAGACAGTGGAGGGCAGAAGTGAGGAGACGTGACGATTTGTCTAAGTAGGCCTGAGTTCAGTGTACTCCTACATGTGCGTCCTGTCTTGTCCCCAAATTGGCCGGTTGATCGGATCGGAAACGGACGAACCGCCGCCACCCACATCTAGCTTCCAAGGCTTACATGCATATTGAAGAAGTTGCCTTTATGGCCGATACTATGCCGTGTCTTTCGTTTTTGGACACGAACTCGGGATTCATAGCTTGGTAAAATAGTTTAATTGACGGTGTGTTTTGACGCCAGATGAGTAGCTTTTTCTACAAATTTTTTTTCTCTCTTTTCCAAAACCCAGCTGCATTTTTAGAATACCCTCGGTAGGTAGTTACATGCTGCCAGATCAGGTGTGGATATGCTACACCTGAGCGTGTCACCAGCCGCAGCTTGGTCTATGCTGTGCTTCTCGCAGCCAACTCTGAGCGATCTACGTCAAGAAAGAAGAGGAGACCAGAAAAAATAAAAGACGGTTAAAAATCGCTGTAATCAATCGTGCACGAAGCATTTCATTATGGCCGGTGTTGTTATCCTGCCACTCTGACTGCCTCAATCTGCCTGGCGCTTTGCAGCATGTGGCTGTCTCCGCATGGGGGAGGGGCTGCAGCGTGCCATGTTGGAATGTAGGAATGGAGGGGCACGGGGGACCCCAGATCTGCACCCTCTGTACTGGAGTACATACAATAAGTATTGCTACGGTGTACTCCGTAGTTCCTTGCAAAGAAAGATCGCCTACGTGCATTGTACGTTAATCTGTGATGCAGCATCTGGCTCAGGAAATCTCGGGTTGCGACAAAGCTAATATGTCGCAGCACTGAGCCCATGTTTTGACACCAGTTGACGCTCAAATTGAGGAGGAGGACTGACCACTCATTACAATTGACTTGATTGGCCAAGTCTCCCTTGTACCTTCCCCACGAACTTGCGGCGACATCCTAGTGCCAGCTCAGAGTCAGACCGGCACCAACGCAGCTTTCACATGCCAGTCCTGGACAGACGTCAGCAGCCCACCACTGCGCCTTTCTTCGCACTCGTCCAGTCTGCATCCGTCCAAAAAGACTGGTGTCACGAGCCCCTTCACGGGCCAGACTAAGCATGCAAAATAACCATAGAATGACCTGCCACCGACTTTTCCTACATTACATGGACAACTTCTGTCTCTGCCTGGGGGCTGTCCAAACTGTCTATTCTCCCACCGAGTAAGATATGTTTGATGCATCCCCAGAAGTCGCCAGAGTACGGTTACTCCTGTTCTATTTTCAGACACCCTTTGACCCATTGTCTCGACTCTCGGGTCTGAACGCACGACGCCACCGACATATTTGTTTCCCTCTCTCGCATTTACGCCTTCGTCTGTTGCATTTCTCCATTGTACCAATTGAACAGTTACATTGCGGTAGCGGTTTGTCTAACACAATGAGCTGGGTCGCTGCTGGCTGATACTACCAATATTCGACTTTCACATGTCAGATCCTGCGACGGCAAAGACCCTTCCCTAAACAATCACCTCTACAAACAATCAGCATGATAGACCACGTCTTAGGGCGGCCGTCGTCAAAGTCAAGGCGACTTCAGGTCCTGGCCGTGTTATCTCTATGGTCCTTTTATTTGTATAGGTATATGCGATACCGACAGCCCATCGTGCATACAGCGTTCGAGACTAACGTCATCCTAGAGGACACAAACATGGACCGCCCGGGGCCCAGTCACTT